ATGTTCATCCTCTATTTGACTATGTTTATCCGCAGTTATTTATACGAATTCAAACATCGAGCTTTAATAAGTTGTACTTATGCATAATTACTTGTAATATTGAATTTTAAGTAATATGCATCAATATACAGTACTTTATGCATAACAAAAATATATCAATATTYKTATCAAATTAACTATTTAAAATTCCTCATTTTTTGTGTAAATTTTAATTCAGTTTTTTTATTATAATTTAATTTAGTTACAATAACGAAGTAATTTATATTTGGTTTAATAATATAATTTTCTTATCAATATTCGTATCTGTTGGTGCATCACTCACAGCAACCACCAATGTTTATTACAATACTTTTTAGGGGGTGTTTGGGGTTGCTTATTTGAAACAACTTATACACTTATTATATGTTAAAATGCAAAAATTCTTTGTTACCGGTTTGGTACCGGCATAAGCCGTTTACCCAAACACTCAAAAGTGCTTATTATAGGTGTCATACCGGAATAAGTCAATAAGTTGTTTTTATAAGAATACATTTTGGTGTTGATATATTGATAAAATATGAAAATGATTTTATGGGTGGTCAAATTAATGAGGTAGGGATAGAGACTTTTGACTTCAACTTAGAATGGGTAGCGTGTTTGATGGGATAATTAGACAGGGAAAGGAAGACTTGTATTATTCATGAGTTATGCTTTTGAGTTTGTTGGTTTTTCTGATTTTTTTACTCCAAGATGCGATAATACGTGGTATTTTATCGGATTACTCTCCAAAATACATCTATCCGATATGGGGCTCTAACACGACCCTCTAACGGAGGCTAGATGGACCCAGATTATCCGAGTATGTTGAGAGGGGGCAAGATTGGTGAGAGAACTAGACCAATACATATTGCCCCAAAGTACTATCATCTAGAGTGGTAGACCTTGAATCTGATACTACGTGATAATATATGCATATGCAACCCTGTCCGATTACTCTAAAAAGGAGGTTCCAACAAATTTGAATGAGAAATAGTCCAAGTCTAACCGATGTAAAACTCTTTTAACGCCGGCAGTTTTGTTTAAATGAAACTACATATCGATCATTGAATTTGTAACTTCATTATTTGATAATTGGCCTCGCTTCATTAGAGATTTCCATAAAGGTTTTGATAATTGGGTCTATCTGCAATTGTTTTCCACGTTGCCTTCCTGCCGTGTATCATCACATTTCCTTGAAGAAAAAGCAGGCCAACTGGTCAAGATTCTTCAACACCACACAAATTTAAGGATTGGTGTGTGACCATAAAACACTTGTATTCCAAAGTATTTTGTACGTAGGACTTCAAAAGTCTTTCTGTTGACTTCAATCATTCATCAGTTTATATATATATATATTTGGACTCCCCATTGATTTTGTTATCGTTTCTACCACTCTCTCAATTCCTTATGGCCGAAGTCCTACTGTGTCTCTTCTTCGTGACTACTTTTCTGGGTTTTGTAGCTGGACAACAGACCAAGTGTTCTGTATCTGTTGGTGCATCACTCACAGCAACCCCCGGTGTCACACCATGGCTTTCATCTTCTGGTGACTTTGCCTTTGGGTTCCGACAACTTGAAGGGAACGATAATTTCTTATTATCCATATGGTATGACAAGATACCTGACAAAACCATCATCTGGTATCCAGAAACAAATGCTACTGTGTCTAGAGGATCGAAAGTCGAGCTAATTGATCAGCGTGGGCTTGTACTCACTGATCCTCAAGGCAGAGAAGTATGGAGTACTTCCAGCTCTTTTTCTGATCTTGCATGTGGTTTTATGAATGATACTGGTAACTTTGTGATTCTTGGCAATAATTCTGGCAAGATATGGGAGAGTTTTAGTTATCCAGCAGATACCCTATTGCCTACTCAGGTTATGGAGATACGTGGACAGATCAATTCGAAAAAAAACAAAACAAACTTCTCTCGTGGAAGATTCCAATTACGTATGGTAACAAATGGGAATCTTGTTCTTAATATTCGAGATATATTTTCCAATTTCCCTCTTAATCCTTACTATGTAAGTGGAACTTCAGATGCCGGCAATTCAACAAATTCTGGTTACCAATTGAGCTTTGATGCAACGGGATACATGTATATATTGAGAAGAAATGGCCAAAAATATGATCTTACTCGAAGAGACGCACTTCCTTCTGGAGATTATTATCACAGAGCTACTCTAGATCCTGATGGGCTTTTTACTCAATACTACCACCCCAAGAATCCCACTGGAAATGCAAGTTGGGCAGTTATATGGTCTGAGCCAAAAGAAATATGTTTTAGTGGGGATATAGGTAGCGGAGCTTGTGGGCTTAACAACGTTTGCAGCCTTGATGGTAACCGGCCAAAGTGTGAATGCCCACAGGGGTTTTCGTTGCTTGATTCCAATGATCCAAATGGTGACTGCGACCATGATATCAGTCCAAGATGTGATGAAGGTTATGGGGGAGATCTGTTTGATTTCATCGAGCTCAATAATACTGATTGGTCAGGATCTGACTATGCACATATCAGACCAAGTAATGAAGAAAACTGCAAACTTTCTTGCAGGGAAGATTGTTTCTGTGCTGTTGCGATTTTCCGGGACGACCAATGTTGGAAGAAGGCAATTCCTCTCTCCCATGGAAAGAAGACTTCAGAATATGTGAAGGCATTCCTGAAATACCAGAAAGATGAACGTCCTCCTCAATGCCCTCCTTGGATTTTAAAAGAAAAAGATCAGAGAAGCCTGGTACTTGTTGGATCAGTTCTTTTAGGTACTTGTGTGTTTGTTATTATAGTATTGACTGGTGTGATTTGTCTGGGCTTCTTTCTAGTCTACAAGAAGAAACCCATGAATCCATATGCAAGTAGTAAAGCTGCTGAAAGCAATCTGCCTCGTTTTACTTATCAAGAGCTAGTCGAAGCTACTAATGGGTTCAAGGATGAACTGGGAAAGGGGGCTTTCGGGATAGTCTATAAAGGCGTAATAGGGACAAACATCGTGGCAGTAAAGAAGTTGGATAGAGTGGTTGAAGATGGCGAGAAGGAATTCAAGACGGAAGTTAACGTCATTGCAAGGACTCATCACAAAAATTTGGTGCAGCTTCTTGGGTATTGTGATGATGGTGAGCAACGCCTATTGGTTTACGAGTATATGAACAATGGCACTCTCGCAGCCTTTCTTTTCAAAGACGTGAAGCCAAGTTGGAAAGAAAGGAGTTATATTGGTGTAGGCATAGCAAAGGGACTCGCATACCTCCATGAAGAGTGTAGCACACAGATCATCCACTGTGACATAAAGCCTCAAAATATTCTTCTTGACGATTACTACAATGCTAAGATWTCWGATTTTGGATTGGCAAAGCTTTTRTTGATGAATCAAAGTCGAACAAATACTGGAATAAGAGGAACGAAAGGATATGTTGCTCCAGAATGGTTTAGGAACACCCCCGTCACTGTGAAGGTTGATGTATTCAGCTATGGCGTGTTRCTATTAGAGATCATTTCATGTCAAAAGAGTGTGGTTTTTGACAGTGATAAGGAAGATGTGGAAGTTTTAACTGATTGGGCATGGGATTGCTATCATGAAGGTAGAGTGGATGCATTTGTTGAGGATGATATGGAGGGGTTAGATGACTTGGAGAGAGTAATAACATTTGTGAAGGTTGGTCTATGGTGTGTACAAGAAAACCCTTGTTTGAGGCCAACCATGAGGAAGGTAGTCCAGATGCTTGAAGACCTTGAAGTGACAGATCCTCCATGTCCATACCCTCTATTTGGTACCTCCATCTAATTATCAAATAGCTCTGCCATTAATGTGATGGTAACTTGTTCTATATATTAATTGTTTCCTACTGTTAGTTGTAAAAAATAATTCGATCTATATAGTTTAATTATCACATATTGAGAGGCTCGGTTGTTTTAGGAATCTCGAGTAATGTAACAAGTAGATGTTAATGCTTTTGGTTTTGACAACTTACTTTGTTGGTTAAGATTCGACCTCTGTTAAGTTTTTTATCTTAACATGATTTAAGCAAGTAGTTGTGGAAACAGACCTTCATTATGGTCATCATCAAGCAGCCGAATTTGTCTGCATACTCACCATGCTCATGAAAGATGCAAACTTTCTGATGAACATATTTAAGCAAGTTATTGTGTGGTGTTTTTTGATGAACCAAAGATATATATATATATATATATATATATATATATATATATATATATATATATATATATATATATATATATATATTGACGGGTGTCGAGTTTGGCAAATAATAAAATTTATGAAATAAGCCTATTATCTCTAAAACACACTTGTAATAGCGATAAGTAGGGTCGTCTCCTCAGGGACTCGGTATTAACCGTAAGTCCAAGACGTAAATGTGTGCACATTCATTGACAATAAAACACTATATATAAAAAGGGGGGGGGGGGTTGGATGATTTATAAACAACCTAAATATGCAAAATAAATTGGGAACTTTAAACAATAATAAGAACGAGACTAGTAATGAGCATCAATCAACTAATCCTTTGGATTATATATCATCGACTCATTCAATCCATTTTCTCAAAAGAAACCACGTTGGTTAGGACATCGACACGCGTCAATATTCTGTTCGTTATAAAAGCATGATCAATATCGAACGCTCTACGATTAACCTCTAATTAGCTAATCAAACCTAGTCACGAACTTAGAATTTAATTGCCAATTGCATTAACGTCAAACAAACCCAACACTAATCGACAATCGGACGCCGATTGTTTAGATTAGATTATACGATCTTACAACATCATCATTTAACCTAAATGTCAACTGTGTGTCGTGTGCTACTTCAATAAACCGAAAAGCAATTACAGACTTAAAGGTTTATCTAGCAACTCGAAATTGAATTAGACATAATAAGGGATCCTACTCAAAATATCTAACTCAAAACGATAAGCATTCAACTCTAAAATCGCATAAATAGCTTCAAATGATATGTTGAAATTGACGTGAGTCTCAACGAATCCAAATTCAAAGTATTCACATACCCATTACTAGAAATTAAAAAATTAGCTACTCATGTCTATTTTGAAACAGAATTCGAACTTACCGACGGTAGAAATCAGTAGAGTAGGAAGAATCCTAAGTCGAGAAATCTAAATTCATCTCTAAAATCTGGAAATGGATTTCAGTTTGCTTACTGCATCTTGATTACCTCTCTCGATGACCTACTGCTCAATTGCTTCCTCCCGGCTGCTGCCTCAAGTATCTTCTTGATTCTACAACTTCAATCGAACAGCCCCCTCTTGATTTTTGCCTTGCTCGGCTTCTGTTTGCTGCTCTCGATTTCTTCAATCCACCGATCGACAGGTTATGGTAATACATGCTGCTGTCCTTCTCGATTGCTCCCTCTCGCCTGCTTCCTCTCGACTTTTCTCCTCTTCGAACAGCCCCCTTCGATCGACTGCTGCTTCCTCCCGATGACAGCCTTTTCTCTCGGTCGACTGCTTCCTCTCGATTGACAGCCCCTTTGCTGTCAATCGATCGACCGCCCCCTTGCTCTCTCAATCGGCAGCCCCTTTATCGCCTCCTCGCTGCCTCTTCTCCGATTTTCTGCCCACGTTCGCTCCCGCTTCCATCGTTCTGCCCACGATCTCCATCGTTCTGCCCACGATCTCCCTCTCTACTCGATCTTTGATTTGGGCMGCAGCCTTGGGCTGCTGTTGTTGCTGCTTCTCTTCTTTTCTTTTCTTTTTTTCTTCATGGGCTGCAGTTTGGGCCTGAATTTGGGCTGTTTGATGCTGATGATAAAAACCAAAATGCAACAATCAATTTTCTCCTTTTTTTTCAATTTAAATGGTCACATAAGATTAAATATCATCTTAAATTAAAATGGATATTTTAAACATCTAAATGACATTAATCTCAAGGTAATTTGATGTAAAAATGTCTAAAATTTGCACTTATCATATATATATATATATATATATATATATATATATATTGGGGAACGTTCAAATAAAAACCACTCAATTTGTAAATCAATCATAATTTTTCATTTTGTTCATTTTTTTTGTAATTATAATAGGTTGATTAACCATTTTATTGTGAAGGGTGTTAATCATGGATATTATCATCTTCATTATTTTAATTTTAGAGAAATATGTAACGCCCCAGCCCACACATTGCATGTAATACATATTTCATACCAAAGAAATACATATTCATATACATTCGGGTCCACTAGTACAAGAAATCTACTATGACCAAACACAAGGTCCAAAAATTCAAAATACAATCTTGTACTAATCATCAGAGCTATGCATCAAAAGCAAACCTTCAACCAAAATGCACGTAAGAAAAGTATTAAATCTTTTCTTTTCCTTTACCTTCCACCCGACCTGCAACACATATTTAAAATCACAAAAACGA